AGAAGAGAGGAGGCGGAAGGAAGCGAGAGGGTGGAGAGTGCGCAGTGGGGGGGGGGAGAAGGAGAAAGGAGGAGGGAGGCCGGGGGAAGGAGAGGGAAGAGGAAAGGAGTAGAAAGGGGAAAAGGGGGCAGGAGGAAAAAGAGAAGAAGAGCACGGAGGAGGGAGGGAGAACGAAGCAGCAAGGACGAGAGGAGGATGGAGGAACACCGGGACGAGCGAGGCAGGACGAAAAAAAGGAGGCCGGCTCCGGGGCCACGCCACGATGCGGCGGCAGGAGGCCACGGCAGGAGCCAGGCACGCGGCGAGGGCGCGCGGGCACACCCGTCCCCCCTCGCACCCACGCAGGCGTACAGCGACATGTACGAGCCGGCGGCCGACACCTGCACGTCCTCGCTCCAGTAGTAGGTGACGTCCCGGAGCACGCCCGAGGCGTAGGTGCAGTGGTAGTCGCCCAGGCTCGAGGCCAGCACCCCCGGGGGCGTGGCTTCCTGCTTGCGGGGAGCGAATTCAAGCATGACATGTATGCACAAAAACCCGGAGGTCCGCGCGGATTTCTCGGATCGGCACTCGACCCCCCTCCCTGGCGCGCGGAGCGCGCCAGGGGTGGCGCCGCCAGGAGGGCCCAGCGCGGACCCAAGAAATCAGCGCGGAGCGCCAAAAGATTATGTTTATTAGACGAGCGCGTTCCACCACTCGCACAGTGAATACTCGCAAATGGCCTTGATCCGCCGGGAGGGATCTACGAGAAATTGCATCGGAGCAGACGTGTGCTTTTTCGGACGTTTGCGAGTAGGCACTTTGCGAGTAGTGGAACGGGCTCGGTGAATTCTGGCGTTGTTTCTTCGTCGAAAACTCCTGATTGCTGGCGTTGACGAAGGCGGTGCTGCCGGAGCCGCAGGTGTCGACGGTGCTCTCGGCGGCGACGCCGCTGGTGCTGACCACCGCGTCCTGCCGGGGGGGATGTGCGCCAAGGCGGGGGGCACGGCCAGAGGTCGGGCGGGAGGGGGAACCCGCCCTGGGCGGCCACTGACGAGGGGAACCATCGGCCTCGAGCTGGCTTCGCCTCCTGACCCCACCTTGAGCTCAGCCCCCTGTTCAAATAATGCGGGATGACGATTTATTTAAAAAATGGGGGAGAACGATTGAAAAATAGTTTTCTGCTATTTCTGCACAAGTTTCTGACTGGAGGAGAACGATCTAAAAATTAGTTTTCCAGCCCGCGGCCGGTTTTTTCTAATCGTCATCCCGGGCGCCGCCGCGTGAACACGACCCCCAGTCATTTATTAATCGTCATCCTCCATTACCTTCGATCCTGCGACGAAGCCACCACGCAATATTCCGCGCCGCCCGGGAGCGGCGAGCTGGGCTGGATGATGACCATGTTCTGGTGGAAGACCACCCGGCTCGCGGGCACCTCCTCCTCGATGATGGCGCCCCCCGCCGTGCGCACGGAAAAGGACCCGTTGCCCGCCTGCACCGCGGTGTCGAACGACAGGGCGAACACGCGCCGCGGCCCGTCCCACTCTGGCGCCACCGACGCGCTGACCAGCGAGGGAGCAAAGCCGCTGTCGTCCCAGGCGGTGATGGCAACGTCCCCGCTGCCAGCGACGACGTTCTCGTCAAACGTCAGGTTCACCGTGGTCTCGCCGCGGCTGAGGTTGGCCGAACGGTACGCTGGGGCGGAGGACACGATCACCGGGCCCGTCGCATCGCCTGGCGCAGTGTAACCCGCAACCGTTGTGAGCACCACCGCCTGATCTGCCTCTGGACGGATTGCCAGGGTGGCCGCCTGGATGACGGAGGCGTACACGGTCAACCCAGTATCGCCCACTGGGCTCGCGTCGCTGTCGATGTCGATGTCGACGCACAGGCGGTAGAGTTCGCCTGCGGTGAGGCTGCCAGCGTCGACCTCGAAGAAGTAGTACGGCACCCCGCCCAGGAATCGCATGGCCCTCGTCGCCAGATCCCTGCTGCCACAGCTTGCCTGGGCGAGCCACGCGTATGTCGAGGATGAGCAGGCCTGTGGGGGAGTGCACACGGACACTTCCAGTCGGCTGCACGCAGGAGTGACCCTGGGTAAGAGTGGCCTTTGGTGCGCGGCTTTTTGGAGGCCGCCGGGGACCAGACCCAAGCACGCAAGGCGCTACTACCGCTTCGCGTTCAGCGAACTGGGGACCCCAGTGGACCTGCACCAAAGGTCACTCTGGCGAAGGGTCACTCTTACGTCTAACCGATTCCAAGCACAATTCGGCCGATCTGCATCCTCTCCAGAGAGGCCTGTCTGGGCATTCCAGCGGTAACCGTGCCGGGTTCGGCCAGACTCGGGGGCCAACAAAGGGTGGCTGGAGGCCCTCGTGTGCTCGCCACGCTCGCTCCTTCGAGCACATGGCGTCGAACAAAAAAAAGCCCGCGCACAAGTGCATGCATGCACATGCACACGCACACGCTAGGAAGCGATATAAACGTGTGTGCACATATTGGTGTGTATATATATAGTATACACACGCAGCTCGAGCTGTGTGCGCGTAGTGCGCGAGCTGAGCTGGACCCAAGCTGCTGTCGTCTTTGTCCGACGATGCGTTCCAGGGAACTTGTGCGAATTGGTGGATGGGGGAGCGGGCACAGCAGCACGAAGACGAGCTCGGCGACGTTTCCTGCAGAACCCTCTTACCTCGTTGGCAGAGCTCAGAGTGGAAACGATAAGTCGGATCGGCGATCGAAAAGAATCGGATCGGCGAACCTCGACGAGTCGGGGAAAGCCAAAATATGGGGCGATCTCGGCAGGCTGGCAAGGCCTTCCTTGGGACACCGGAAGCCATATCGGAATCCGAAGCCGAATTTGCCCAAAATCGGACAAGCGGGGGACGTTGAGGCAAATCGAGCCCTGCTGGTGGCGAGGGGAAATGGAATGTAGCAACACTCACGCGCAGCAGTGATTTTCGTTAGCTAGGGCAGCACTCCGGGTCACGCTGCCTGTACCCTTGTTCCCTTGGCGGGTTCGAGCCTCGCGCCGACGGGTGATTGCATATGTTCCTCATGCTCTGGCGCCGAGGCAGCTACAACAGGTACAAGTCCACCTTCCAACCCCTCCTCCTGACCCCACGCGCCAGCCGCTGGCCCCATCCGCCTCCACATCCTGCCCCCTCCTCCTCGGGAGGGAGGAGGAGGAGGAGGAGGAGGAGGAGGAGGAGGAGGAGGAGGAGGAGGAGTCAGGAGTCAGGACTCACAGCACTGCTTTGAGGCCGCACCCGCCGGGCAAGCCGAGCTCTGCTGGTGGCGAGGGGGAGGGGGGAGGGAGCAGGGGACGGCCTCCGGGCAGGTGGCGTTCAGGACGCGGCTGCCGGCGGCCAGCACCTGGGCTCGACGGCGGGGGGAGAAGGGCGCCGCCACAACGCGCCGCGCGGGCCGGCCGCGACGCCGGCATCACAGTCCTCGGCTATGCCCGATGCTCGACGACGACGACGAAGTCCTCGACGACGCTCGATGCTTGACGATGCTCGATGCTTAATGCTGGGCGCGGCGACGACGACGACGAAGTCCTCGACGGCGCGGCGCTTCCCCTACAGTGCTCGCTCGGTGCTGCGGGCGGGACTGTCGGCACGACCGGCGCCCTCGTCCTGTTGCTGCTCCTCCTTTTCCTCCCCCTCCTCCTCAAATCCATCAGCATCAGCATCATCATCATCATTCTCATCATCATCGCCATCATCATCACCATCATGATCGTCACCCTCATCATCATGATCGTCACGATCATCTTCATCATCACAATCATCATCATCACCAGCATCATCATCCACCACCACCAACATCACGTCATCGTCATCACCAACATTATCATCAGCATCAGCATCACTATCATCCGCGTCATCATCATCAGCATCATAAGCATCCTCGTCCTCATCACCATCTCATCATCGTCACCCGATTCACCATCATCATCAGCAACCACAGCATCATCAGCCGCAGCATCCTAACCGTCACCATCAGCATTATCATCACCATCGTCATCATCATCATCATCATGATCATCATCAGCATGAGCATCATTATCCAAGAAAGGGGGGAGGGGAGCCTCCTCCGAGGAGGGAGGTGGAGTTAAGGGGAACGAGGAGGGAGGGGAGGTGCGGACGGCGAGATTGGCCGGGAAGCGGTGGAGTTTGGATTGCGCTCTGATTCGCCGAAAACAAATTATCCCAGCGCGACCCTACCTAGGAGTTGGAACCCCTAGGAAAGCAGCATTAGTAGTAACAGCAACGCTAAGCTAAAGCTAAGCTAAAGCTAAGCCGCAGCTAAGCTAAAGCTAAGCTGCAGCTAAGCTAAAGCTAAGCTAAAGCTGAGCAGCAGCTAAGCTGAAGCTAAGCTGCAGCTAAGCTAAAGCTAAGCTAAAGCTAAGCTACAGCTAAGCTAAAGCTAAGCTAAAGCTAAGCTACAGCTAAACTAAAGCTAAGCTAGAGCTAAGCTTTAGCTAAGCTGAAGCTAAGCTAAAGCTAAGCTAAACGCTAAGCGAAAAGCTAAGCGAAACGCTAAGCTAAAGCTAAGCTACAGCTAAGCTAAAACTAAGCTAAAGCTAAAGCTAAAGCCAAACCGCTCCCAGGGGACTGGGGGAACCGCCAGGGGCGCTTTCCACTGCCCGGCCCCTTTAAGCTAGAGAGTAAGAGCCCTTCTAGGCAGAGCCTAGGTAGGGAAAAAACGGCCAGCTTAGTGCGGCACTCACTGGCTGCTGGCAAAAACGCGCGCTATCTAGCAGCACGGGCGCCAAGGTGTAAATGCTCCACCCGACCAAACCCACGCCTAACCCGTACCACCCCCATATCGTCGGAAGGCGCTCAAGGCGCACCGCAAAACAACAAGAGTAGGGAAAAGACAAGATGAAGCTGATCAAAGAGGGGAGCAGGCGAGATAGCCTGCGAAGGGCCGTAAAGGCAGCTCAGTGGGCGTGTGCGAGGCAGGGGCCAGCGGGGGTGCACGATTTTCGCACGCTCGACCTGCCCCCCATGCCTGCATCATCGCCGCAGTGCGAACCGCGTCCCCGCCAAAATACCTAAACCCACACTCGGTCCGACCATAGTGATCTGAACGCTAAGAAAGGAAGTGGGGAAGGTGAGACGGCTGGGCGTGTCCAATGCGCGGACGCGGGACGGCACGCGTGGCTGCCCGCCGCGAGAGAGGCTCGCCGTACCTGGTACGGCGCCCGAAACCTCTCGAACTGGGACGGCAGCTAGAGACCGAACGAAGAGAGAAGCACCAAAAGGCAAGGGGAGGCTGATCCAAGTGGGGAGCAGGTGAGATGACCTGCGAAAGGCCGAACAGGCAGCTGAGTGGGCGGGTGCGAGGCAGGGGCCAGCGGGAGCGCACGATTTTCGCACGCTCGACATGTGGCCCATGCCTGCTCCGACACCGCAGTGCGAACCTCGCCCCCGCCAACATACCTAAACCCACCCTCGGTCCCGACCATAGTGAGCTGAACGCTAGGAAAGGATGTGGGGAAGGTGGGACGGCCTGGCGTGCCCGATGCGCGGGCACGGGCCAGCGCGCGTGGCTGCCCGCCGCGAGAGGTCCGCCGTACCTGGTACAGCGCCCGGAACCTCTCGAACTGGGGCGGCAGCTGGAAGCGATGGAGGGAGGAGGGAGGAGGGAGCAGGAGGAGGGGGCAGAAGGAGGGAGGAAGGGGGAGGGGGGATGTGGGGGACAAGAAGTGAATTCCCTCTGTAATGAAACATCGTTGCTCGATTGGCCGTTGGTTGCGTGCTGTGCCTCCGACCCTGCTTGCACCGCTGGTGAGGAATGCATTCACGCTGCGTTTACTCCGCTGCTGTCTTGGACTGGATTGCACCTCTCTTGTTCACACGACTGCCAGCCGCAACATGTCCCCTTCAGCTCGCCCATATTCCGCTCGCATCGCCTTGCGGAGCTTCACACGGTGGCCGCCTGGAGCAGCCCAAGCTGGCTCGGGGGTCGCCAAGACGTGGCAGACGGGGCGGAGGTGGCAGGCGAATCCTTGAGAAGCGAGGCGCACTCTCCAGTAGTTCCGAGGAGGCCCTGCCCGCCTGAGCTCGGGGAACGAGCAGTAACACAAAGGTTATACTTTGGGAGAGGCCCGCGCGGACTTCCTGAATCGGGGTTGGGACCCACTCCCTTGCGCGGGGAGCGCGCCAGTGGCGACGCCGATCCAAGGAATCCGCGCGGACCTCCCGCAATTGCATGTTAAGGTCGTTACCTTGAACGCATGAAAAGCGACCCCCGCCCCCACTTGAGAAGCGAGGGGCTTGAGACAAAGTTGACGGAATGGCCTCGATTACAAGGCGCCTACACTTACACACATTCGCCATAAGTGCAAACCGCTGACATACAAGATCAATCGTTGTGGGTGCTGGGGTCGGTTTCCCACTGTCCATCTGTCCCCCGATGGACCATCCCCAGAAATGCGACGTCCTGATTGTTTCGATACGCGGTCCCCAGAAGTCCCGCCCCTTGCCGCCCGGGCTGGTTTCCCATCCCGAGTCGCTTTGTCCACGGTCCGGGGCCCAGCGAGGCTCCTTGAAGCCGAACATGACCGAAAACCTCCCACCGTGACTTCTTCACGGCGCGAGCACGTCTGGGTCCTTCCTCCTCTCGTCCTCGGTTGCGGCACGGCCCCCTCCGCTCTGATTGCCTCCTACGAGGCCACACCAAAAAAATGAACCCCACGCCCGCCAATCCCCCCGTCTGTGTACCCACGAAGAGGCCTCCTGTTCGCGACCCGGCCTCGGTGGCGGAATGGGCCGCAAAACCACAAGATAACGTACAGGGCACCGGCGTGGCGAATTCTGCACCCAGCTCGATCGTTGGCTGCTGGTATGATTGTAGTGCCCGGCCCGCCGACGTGCTCGCCGATGCGAGAGGAGACACGTACACGGAGTACCCGCTGGCAGCCGCTTCTTTCAGGCGCAGGAAAAGCACAGTGTGAGGGGAGGGAGCAGGGCGTGGAGACGGGGAAGAGGGTGGTGAGGCACCTCCTCCCTGGGTCTCTCCCTCCCTCCCTGCCTCCCTCCTCCTCCTCCTCCTCCTCCTCCTCCTCCTCCTCCTCCTCCTCCTCCTCCTCCCCAAGGGCACGATGCTACTCTCTCCCCTCGGGCCACGGGAGGTCGCACCGGCGGGGCGAGGGCGAGGGCCACCCGCCAGGCGCAGCCTGGCCCCTTAAGCGCCCCAGGAGCACCGCCGGGCCCAGGGCGTCTCGCGGGCCCGGCGGGGCAGGCAAAAGCCGAGCAGACGGCCTGCGCGTCGCCCTGGGCTCGAGCGCGGCGCGGCGCGCGGGGCACAGAGCGCCAAGGGGGCGGCCCCCCCCTTCGCGCCCTCGCGGCGCCGGTCCAGGGAAGAACGGCTGCGCGGCCCGTGGCCCACGCCTCGGGGCGCGAGGCGCGCGGCGAAACGCCTCGCCGCCCCTGCGGGCGGCCTTATAGCGAGCAGGTCGGGGCGGCGTTCTCCGGGCTTGGACAGAGTGGATCTTGGGCAGGGACCGACCGTCCCGGCATCCCTGCAGGCCTACCACGAAATCGTCTCAGAACCCTCCAAAAGCCCTGTAGGCCTACCACGATATCGTCTCAGACCCCTCCAAAGGCTCGACAATCACGACAGTGTGATCCTAACAAAGAAACACGATGTGTTAAAACAAGGCAGCCCCAGACAGACATGTTCGAATAACACGTCGCGCAAACCAAAAAAGGTTATTCGAACATTCTTTGATGGGCCTAGAGGCAAGCCGGGACGCCTCGCCACTGCCTCAGGATCGGGACCTGCCAGCCCCTCGAGGCGGGGTGCCGCCGCCGGCCACTCCCTAAAATGGACGCGCCCAAAGGGGATGACAATATCAGGGATGCGCCCTCAAAAGATATGGGAGTCCCTAAGATTGGCATCGTGATGAGGAGATGCCCAGCATAGGGATGGGGATATGTTCCAGGTTGGTAATGGACTCGAGCTCCGAGAGCCGTGGAGCTCTCCTGCGCCCGCCCCCATGGAGCCCGAGGGCCCCAGGCCCCAGAGCACCCCCCACAGGGCAGAGCCTGGTTGGCGCCGCCCCTGCAGAAGAGGAGGGCAGGACGAAGAAGCTGAAGGGGCCCCAGGACACACAAATAAACACACACACACAGATAAAAAAAAAGACTGCCCATATTTCCTCATATTTTTGGGCGGTTCTGCCTTCCCCCCCCCCTTCCCATATGTTTGCATATTTTCCTGGGAGTCGACGATGAATTGTGTCTGTGTGCTTCTTTCCCTCCTGAGAAACACGGCCCTGATGGATCAGGCGGGGATCATCTCCGAGAGCCCACGGGCCTGGAGCATCCAGCCGGCGCCGCGCCCGGTCCGGAGCGAGTCGTCCTCATCCCAGGCCTGCCTGACGGTACACCGGCCTCCTCCTCCTCCTCCTCCTCCTCCTCCTCCTCCTTCTCCTCCTCCTCCTCCTCCTCCTCAACCAACCAATGCCATTCGCTAGAGGAACCCCAAACAGCACAAACATAAACTGTTGGAGGTCCGCGAGGAGTCCTTGGATCGGCCTCCTCCTCGACCAACCAGTGCCATCCGCTAGAGGAATCCAGAACAGCACAAACACAAACTGCTAGAGGTCCGCAAGGAGTCCTTGCACCGGCCTCCTCCTCGACCATCCAGTGCCATCCGCTAGAGGAACCCCAAACAGCACAAACACAAGCTGTCAGAGGTCCGCGAGGAGTCCTTGGATCGGCCTCCTCCCCCTCGACCAACCACTGCCATCAGCTAGAGGAGCCCCAAACAGCATCAACATAAACTGTTAGAGGTCCGCGAGAAGTCCTTGGATCGGCCTCCTCCCCCTCGACCAACCACTGCCATCCGCTAGAGGAACCCCAAACCAGCACAAACATAAGCTGTCAGAGGTCCGCGAGGAGTCCCTGGATCGGCGCTGGACCCACCTCCCTGGCGGCGCCGGACACGCCGCCCTGGAGGTGCAACGAAAACCCCCAAAAAATCCGCGAGAAGGGCTCCCGAGCGTCAGCGTTGCCGCCGCCAGAGCGCCAGCGCCCTCGTCATCGCCGCCGCCGCCGCCGCCGTCGTCGTCGTCGTCCGCCTTCAGGGTCGGCGGCACCAGCCGCCAAGGCCTTTCCAACCCAAGACGCCCGCGCGGGTCGTCGAAGGTTCGTGCTCCCGGGGCTCCCGTTGCACCGCGAGGGACGACTCGACGGCTCCCTGGAGGAGCCGGCGGGCAGCCGCAGAGACGGGAGCTCCGCCAGAGAGGGAGGCCCCCGCGTGCCGTGCCCCCGTCGACGACGCCCGGGGCCCCCCAGGCGGGGGCACGGCCAGACGCGGGAAATCGGCGCGGGCACGGCCAGACGTGGAGATCTCGGCGCTCCCTGTGCCCCCTCGGCGGCATGCAAGAGAGTGGCCCCCCTGTGGGCAAGAGCGGCCTCGGGGGCGCGACTTTCAACTTCGCGGGGGGCGCGGGGCGGCCAAGCCCGGGCGCGCAAGCTGCTGCTGCCGCCTCGCGCTCAGCGATCGGGAGACCCCACTACTGAGCAGGGAGACCCACCGTCCCAGCACTCCTATAGGCCTACGACGGCATGTCCTTAGAACCCCAGAAAGGTTCTAAGAACAAAGACACTGTGCTTAGAACAACAGCCCGATGCGCTTAAACAAGACAGTCTCGGCCAGGAGGAGGAGGAGGAGGAGGAGGAGCAGGAGGAGGAGGAGCAGGAGGAGGAGGAGCAGGAGGAGGAGGAGGCGGAGGCCCCTTCCCCCTCGTGCCGAACTGGAGCTGAGGGTCTGAGCTCGGCCCTGGAGCCGGACCGGCCCCCGACGTCATGGTCTTGCTCGCATCGCGCGGACCTCAGGTCTCGACCCACTCCCCCAGACCCGCGTCTCGTCCCGAGTCGCTGCTGCTGGCGGCCCCGGGGCCCAGCGAGGGCCCCCAGAGATTGTGTTCACGGCGCGAGGGAGCGGGCAACGCCTCTCGCCGAGCCCGAACGCGCTGGAGTCGCCGTCGACGTCGATGCAGAGCTGGTAGGAGAGGCCCAGCGTCAGCGGCGTGGCGTCGAGGGCCGCGGCCCACTGCCCTGCCGGCGGAGGAGGAGGAGGAGGAGGAGGAGGAGGAGGAGGAGGAGGAGGACGAGGAGGAGGAGGAGGAGGAGAGGAGGAGGAGGAGGACGAGGAGGAGGAGGGGAGGCGGAGAAGGAGGAGGAGGAGGGAGGAGGAGGAGGAGGAGGAGGAGGAGGAGGAGGAGGTGGAGGAGGAGGAGGAGGAGGAGGAGAGGAGGAGAAGGACGAGGAGGAGGAGGAGGAGAGGAGGAGGACGAGGAGGAGGAGGAGGAGGAGGAGGAGGAGGAGGAGGAGGAGGAGGAGGAGGAGGAGGAAGGGGGCCGCCTTGTCGCGAGGGAGGTCTCCCCAGAAAGCCAACGTCTTGAGCAGGTGCGAGGCGCAAGAAGGCTTCGACCAGCGAGGGCTTCGGGGCGTCTCTCGCGACGGCCTGCGCGAGTTCGCTCTCTCATAGCATTTTGGAGCTGTAGCGACGAGGGTCTCCCACGAATCAAAGAAGCCGCGGCTTGACGCCGCCGCCTGGGGAAGCGACGTCCTCAAAGCGAGAATGATGGCACGGTAAGATTGGCTCGGTAAGCGCTCCAGGGTTTCCAGAGCATCTGACGGCGCAGCCAGTGCGGAACATAAGGGACTGCTGGAAAGATCCTGGAAGCCTTGGAAATCATGGAACGTACCGTTGTGATGACCTCTTGGTCCTCTGAGTCCTGGGACACCATGGGGCGGTGGATGTGGGCACACGTGGGCCCCCTTGGGCCTATGTATATATATATATATATACACATATACATATATGTGTGTATATGTGTATATATAACTTATGATGTAAACCAGTATGTACAACAACTGTTTTTGTATACAGCGCAGGCCAGTCCAGAAGAAACCTTCCACAAGACGCCCAACTCTGAGACATCAGGACGTCAATTGATGTTCGGTCTGGGGACGTCACGCTTTCCATAGCAAAACCACCGAAACCCAAGAAACCCAGGGCACCCTGAGGCAAGCAGGGTGTCTCTTGGCATGGGTCTCCACTGTATATACATGTCTTCCACCTCTCGGAGCCCAGGCAGACCAGCTCCCTGGGCGGTGGGTAACTGGAGGCAGACCCCAGCCTCGGGACAGAAAAAAACAGCACGGGCGGACACGCCGAGGGCCCCGCGTGGAGAAGGTACAGCATCAGACGCCTGACGTCGACGGGGATCATCCTTCGCTCCGAGGCGCGATCGGTTCTGAGTCTGAGCGTTTCGAGCTGCTCCTGTCCCGGGGACAGGCAGATCTGCATGGATAGAACACTCCTGCATCCATACACATGGTGGTTTGGAAGTTCAGCGGCACTTGAGCGACGATCAGAGAGGGGTCTTACGCGAGGTGACGTAGCGACCTTACGCCGCTTGCGAGCGCGGCACGCTAAACTGGAAGCGACGGCGCTCACGCGCGAGCTTACGCGGGCAGCTTGCACGCCAAGTTCGGTGCAAGCGACCCCGTTTGTGTTGCGTTGCTCACTGGGGGGGGAGGGCGCGTGCCGTCAACAGCACCAAGGTGGGCTTCCAAGGGGGTCTGCAAAAAGTGCTGAGCTGCCTGGTTCATGCAGGAAAGACGTGCTCCAGAATGGGAACCCATGTAAAATACTCATCGGCCTTCGCCAGTTTTCGATCAAGCCGTCTCCGGCAGTCTTCGACGGTTCTTAGCGGTCTTCTGAACGAAGTCTGGATGAATGCGTTTGACGAAATGCCAGTGATCAAACAAGTCTGGGTATGGCCCGAGCCGCAGCCAAAGGCGAGCATTGCGCGGAAGCAAGCCGTCTGTTCCCCGCAACCGGGGAGGAGTGATTCGGCAGGCACATCCACCGAACAACTGGCAGCCTATGGCCCCAGGGCTGGCCAGCGCGTTGATCTGCCCGCTTCGTTGCGAACTGGTTCGTTGAGATACCACAGATGATGCCACGTTATGGGCTGCACGGCCATCTTCGATAAATGTAAGAACAGGGCCCGTTCGTTCCGCCGTGCCACGCGTCCCAAGCATATGGGACAACCGCCACCGTTCGTACTGCCGTCGGCATGCGGAAGAAGATGACGAAGCGGATCGTGCTTATCAGATCCAAGAACTCGAAGCACGCCGCTATAATTAGGTCGGCCATGTCCTCCTACAGACGGAGGTTGCAGGAACATGATAGCCAAACCAGAAAGATAATCGGCGTAATAAATAATCGAAACATCGTCCCCTGGCTATTCTCTGTCTGTTCTTGAATTTCCCTCCTGTAGAAGGACGTGCCATGCCCGACTTAATGTATCTGCTCCCTTCAAGGCGAAGATGCTCGGAGACCAGGCGGAAGACTTGCAGGCCGAAGGCGCCGGAGCCGAACGCGGGCCGCGCGCGGTGCGGACGCCGATGACGACGTCGCCACTGGTGCCGAGGAGGCAAGCGCTGGCACTCAGAAAGGCTGCCGGTGCCCACTCAACGAGTGCACTGGGAGGCGAGGGTGCCCCAAAGATCTGGGACGCCACGCTGCCTCGCTGCAGTCACTGCAGCGAGGCTGCACGGGGACATGGCCAGGCCGGAGCTGCTCGCAGCCGACGCGCCGCCCCTCCTCCTCAGTCTCCCCCCTCTTCCTGGTCGGCAGCCTGATTCTCCACGTGCTCCTCCCACAACAATTGCTCCGCCGCCCCGTCTCGTCTTGCTACTCCCCTCGTCGTCCGCGTTGCAGCCCGCGTCGTCGCACCCTCGCCGCGCGCACGCAATATTGCGCACTCGCGCTTGCAGGCCATGCTGCCGCCTCGCGGCTGCCAGCCGAGAGAGGGAAGGGAGGATAGAGGAGAAACAAAAAACGGCATAAACAAACGGCATAAATGGAGGGGCCCTGGGACACACACTAATAAATACACACAAATAAAAATATGCCCCATATTTTCCCATATGTTCTGGGTGTCTGTCTTCCCCCCCACTTCCCATATTTTCCAATATTTTCTGGGGAATCGAGGATTATTTGTGTCTGTGTGTTTCTTTCCCTACTGAATAAACATAAACGTTCGCCGGTCCGCGCGGACTTCTTGCGTCCGCGCTGGACCACCCCTCCCTGGCGCGCGGAGCGCGCCAGGGGCGGCGCCGCAGGCGCCGCCAGGTGGCCCCAGCGCAAATCCAAGAAATCCGCGCGGACCTCCGAAAGTGTATGTTCATGTCGTTTTTAATTCTCTGGGAGGACGAAGAGGTGAGAGAGGTGGACCGAAGCCATGAACGCAGTAGAACGCAGGGGGGGTAACACCCCTAGTGCCGAGCAGGCCTCCCCACACTCGCTCCGACTCCGGCGGACCTTGAGCCCTCGAGAGCTCTGCACCCACCTCGGCCCTGAGGCCCAGCGCGCACCCGCCCGCCCGGCGGCCCCCACCGCCAGATGGCGCAGAGCTCCGCCGGCGGCCTCCCGGCCGGCAGCCCCGGCGCGGCCCCCGAGGACGCCGGCGGCAGCGCCCGCCGCCCCGCGCCGCCCCGCGGGGGCTGCGGCACGGGCCCCCCCGCCAGGCCGCCCCGCGCCGCCCACCGCACCACGCTGCCGCCCCGCGGGCTGCGGCGGGGCCCCCGCGCCCCTGCGGCGCCTCCGTGGCCGTCGGCGCGGCGCGCTGGCCGTCGGCGCGCCGCGCCCGCGGTCGGCGTCTCTCGGGGCCGGCACTCGGCGGCCACAGGGCTCCCCTATTCCTTAGGGGGGCTCCGCGCCCAGCATCGCAGGCTGGCGGATGCGCCCCGGGGGCGTGGTTGTGTGTTGTCTGTGCTTGTTTCGCGGAGGGAGGGGGGATGAGCAAAAAAAGATAAGAAGCAGAAGGAGGACAAAGAAGGAGGAGGAGGAGGAGGAGGAGAACGAGGAGAACGAGGAGGAGGAAAAGGATGAGGAGAAGGAGATGGAGGAGGAGAATGGATGCGAAAACCTTACGGAGCCCATACGAAAACACCATCCGAAAGGCGGACGGCGCCACAATCCCCCGTTCTCGCATGCGCCCTGGGTCCAGGCCGTCCTCGTTGGAGGAAGTCCTCGGGAGCAGCAGCAGGAGCAGCGGCGGGAAGACGAGGGGAAGCAGCAGCACGAGAAGGGACGAGGAGAACGCTCTCCGAGGACAGCAAGACCTGAGCAGCACGTGTCGGAGAGTCGGACCTGCTTGCGTCATCTGCCGTCGCCTCGGTGTGGGCCGCTTGCAGGCTACCTGCCAGTGGCGCGACCGAGGGTTCGGTTCGAAGGTCGAGCAACCGCGTCGTCTGGACGCACAAGGATCCGGCTGGCCGCACCAAGAGGAAAAGGAGGAGGAGGAGGATGAGATAGGATGAGGAGGAGGAGGAGCAGCAGGGAAGGTGAGGAGGGAATACCTGGGAGTGCCCTGAGAAACAGCAGCCGTACTCAAATTACGTTCTCTCACTCGCCCTGCCCACTCTGCACATCCGCACAAGCCCCGTCAAGCATGGCAGCAGCAGCGGCAGCGGCAGCGGCCTATCCACAATGCAACGGGTAACTCACCTCCAAGCCGTGCCTGAGTCCATGCCATCGTCACAACACTACATACCCCTGTGCAAAGTACATTCAGGAATACAGTACCGATGTGCATAGAAAAAGGAAGAGCACATCAACGACAGGCCTGCCAGCACGCATCTCAACTCACAACTGCCCTCCATCCTCCACACGACGCGCTCATGGCGCCACGCTCAGATTACAATGCGCTTCTGGCCCCGCCCCAAGCCTCCCGCCTCTCTGCGGTTGAGCACCCTGGCACACCTTTGGCCACCGCGCAGGGAGCGCGGTGCGACGAGACTAGGCGGAGCCCAACATCACCCCCGCATTCTACTAGAGCCTCCCCCCCGCCTACCGCAGGCTGGAGTGACCCAAACCACACACACCCTAAACCCAGTCGGACACGAGGGAGGAGGAAGAGGAGGAGGAGGAGGAGGGAAATGAAGAGAAAGGGAAGGGAATGATGAGGAGGAGGTGAAGGAGGAGGAAGATAAGGAGAAGGAAGAGTCGGAGGAGGACAAGGAGGAGCACAGGGAGAGGGAGAGGGAGGAGGGAGGGGGAGAGGGAGGGGGAGAGAGAGAGGGAGAGGGGAGCGAGAGAGGGAGAGGGAGAGGTAGAGCGAGAGTGAGGAGGAGGAGAAGGAGGAGAGAAAGAAGGAGCAGCAAGGAGGACGAGAAGGAAGAGGAGGAGGAGGTGGAGGAGGAGAAGAAAAAAGGAGGACGAGGGAGGAGGAGGAGGAGGAGGAGGAGGAGGAGGAAGGAGGACCAGTGTAAACCCAAGAGGCATCAACGATGTTGGAATAAACCCTCCCTCCAAGCTCCCTCTTCATAGGCCCCTACATCGGTTCATTTTTACTGAGGGAACTGCCTCGTTGAAAGACAACTGCTCGAAGTCATTGGAACATGCCCAAGCATTGCTCTCGGGATTCCAACGGCACGGGTCACCCTGACTGTTGTGCCTTGACGATCCTGAATCGTGCCAGAACGCCATTCCTGGGACTTCAACACCGCGAACCAACGTAACTTGTGCACCCTCATAAGCCTGAACCGTTCCAAAACACCATCCCTGGTTCGTTGATCATGGGAATTCTTCAAACTCGTGCAAATGGAATAAGCGAATGCGCGCGGCGCTCAGGCGAGCGTCATATTTGGAAAAGGAACCGCCCTCGATCGGTGAAGACCTGGCAATGTACAAAACGAATGGGCGCGGCGCCAAGGCGAGAGCCACACTTTGAAAACGGGTTGTCCTCAGTCCGTGAAACTCTTGCGAACGTTTAAAACGAATGTGCGCGGCGCTGAGGCGAGAGCCACATTTTGAAAACGGGTCGTCATCAATCCGTGCAGCTCCTGCAAGTGTTTAAACCCAATGTGCGCGGCGCTAAGGCGAAAGCCACATAACAAAAAAACACCCGCCCTCCATGCGTGAAACTGTTGCCAAGTTGTAAGCTTCAGGGTCACAGGTGGTGAGGCAGTCTCAGGCGAAACGCCCGGCCCGCCCTCAAGACTGGCCTCGGGGTGCGACAGGAAGATATTAGTTATCCGTAGCCGCCCCGATACGCAACACGCAACACGTAGCGTATTGATACGGAGCTCAAGACGTATCCTGAATACGTGGGTCCGACGAGATACATTCGCCAAAACGTGGTCCAAAACGTGGAGCCGACACGCAACGTGTTGGCACGGACATCTCGAGTACGGTACGTGTTGCGTATCAAAACGTGCGTATCGAGGCAGCTAAAGTCATAAGGAGAGGGAATGGAGGAGGAGGAGCAGCAGGAGAGCAGGAGGAGGAGCAGGAGGAGGAGGAGGAGGGAGAGGAGAAGGGAGAAGGCGGAGAATGGATGCGCAGGGAAAAGGAGGAGGAGGAGCAGGAGGAGGAGCAGGAGCGGGAGCGGGAGGAGGGAGAGAGGAGTCAAGGGTGGGGGAGGAGGCGTGCCAGGGGGGGGGGGACCCACGCAGGCAGCCAGGGGCGCAAGGCAGCGCGGCGGCCTGTGCCGATGCTCGCCAGGGTGGCGGACATGGTCTGAACGCCCGTCTTCAGCGAGCTCGGCGGCCGCTTACCCCTCTCTCCTCTGCCCCCCTCCTCCTCCACCGCCCCCCCTCTGCCCCCCGCCTCATCCACTGGCCCTGCTCCGCCCCCCTCCTCCTCCAGTGGCCATCTTGCTCCAGCATCTCCTCATTATCTCATCCGCACCATAGCATCATCATCATCACCCTCGCAAGCATCTATCGCCTGCCTCTCCTCCTTACCTCCCTCATCCGCACCCTTATCTCCTCATCAGCATCATCACCATCGCAATCAGCAGGATCAGCAGCATCATCATCATCATCATCAGCAGCATCATCATCAAGATCATCATCATCAGCATCCTCATCATCATCAGCATCATCAACAGCAGCATCGTCATCATCTTCACCATTATCAGCATCACCATCAGCACCATCAGCATCAGCATCAGCAGTAGCATCAGCATCGTCATCATCATCGCCATCGTCAGCATACTCATGCTCAGTTTCGACATTACCAAGCAGCAACAACATCAACGTCAGATGTGCCATCGTCACCACCATCATGACAGTCATAATCATGATCGTAATAAGCATCGCTCCCATCATCAACCACATCATCGTACTCATAATGATCCGCAGCACCACCGTCATCGACATCATCATCAACATCAGCATCAACATCAGCATCGCCATCGGCATCATCATCATGCTAAGCATGTTCATCATCATCATCATCATCATCATCCTCATCATCATCATCATCATCATCATCATCATCAGCAACATCATCGCAAGTATCACCAGCCTCACGATCTCACCAGCGTCGCCGTCATCCGCAGCACCACCACGTCCACAATCATCACCACCACCACCACACCGTCGTCATCAGCATCATCATCAGCATCACCAGCACCATGCCATTTCCACCATCATCATCATCAGCAGCAGCATCGTCAGCATCATCATCAGCAGCAGCAGCAACAGCATCATCATCATCGTCATCGGCAGCAGCATCATCCTCGTCATCCTCAGCATCGCCATCATCGTCACCATACTCAGCATCATCATCATCACCACCATCATCACCTTCATCACCTTCAGCATCAGCATCATCGTCATCATGCTCATTAGATTCCTCCTCCTTCTCCTCGTTATCATTATCATCATCAGCATCAGCATCATATTCAGCAGCAGCGTCATCCTCATAAACATTATTGTCATCGCCATCATCATCCTGCTATCCTTCTCCGATGGCGGCGACGACGTCGAAGACGAGTCGGAGGTAAAGCTGGAGGAGCTTGAGACGTACAAAGGCGACGAGAGAGGCCACGAGGCTTGCCAGCCCGAGGTCTCGCCTGAGCGCCGCCGCGTAGCAGTCGCTGGCCAACATGACCGCGGTGTTGTTCGAGCAGCTGCTGCACGTCAGAGACAATACCTGCATGGGTGTATGGGGACGCCAGGGGTGTCTCCTCCTTCCCCTTCCCTCTCCTCATCCTACCTCCTCCCTCCTCCTCCCTCCTCCCCCCTCCTCCCTCCGCCTTCCTCCGCATCCTCCTCCTCGTCCCCCTCCTCCTGCCCCATACCTCACCATCCCTCCTCCTCCCTCACCCTCCCTCCACCTGCCGACCCCGCTTGGCCGTACTGGGAAGACAGACGGACAGGCCTGGCCTCAATTGCGCCATGCCTCCAAGTCCCGCTGTATATCCGCGGGCAACTCGGACCCTCCGCGTCATTGCTAAGCAGGGACCGACCGTCCCGGCATTCCCAAAGTCCTGCCACAAAATGTTCTTAGAACCCAAAAACTGTTCCTAGAACAAAACAATGTTCTTAGAACATGAACCCGATGTGTCAAAACAAGACAATCCCGGCCAGAAACGTTCTAAGAACATTTCGTGCAGACCACAAAAGGTTCTTAGAACATTCTTTGGTAGGGCTATAGGCGAGCCAGGACGCTTCGCCACTGCTTGACATTGGCGGCCAGCCTGCGCTCTCCGAGCGAACCTGGCGCGTCTGCCGAGGGCCGAGCAGGCGCCAGCGACGGTGCGGGCGTGCCGGCCGCTGCCTGCCGCACGGGCGGTCACCGTGGAGCGTGCCGTGCCCCCAGCCCAGTGGCCTGGGCTTCTCCAATCTCGATCCTCCTCGATCCTCCTCGATCCTCCTCGATACTCCTCGATCCTCCTCCTCCTCCTCCTCCTCCTCCTCCTCCGCCGCCTCCTCCTCCTCTTCCTCGATGCTCGATCCTCCTCGGCAGGGAGGCCCAGTGCCAAAGCGGCCCCTAGAGAGCACACCCGCTCCCAACGGAGACCCAGAGGGCCCCAGGGTCTCCACGATGCCGTGAAAGGCCGGGGACACCTGAGGCCAGGAGCAGCTCTGGCAACCTCCGAGCGGCGGTGTCGGCTCCCGAGAGGTTGATAGGACGAGCACCAGGGCTGGACCTAAACATTGTTGTTCGTGTTGGCTTCGTTTTGTTGTTCGGTTTGCTCTACCTGCTTTCATGCACCTCACTGCCCAACAAAGAATAACAAAGCACAGCCGAAGTCCAGCAAGACAGCGTTTAGTTCCAGCCCTGCCGAGCACGATGTCATTTCGTAACCTTCCCCTATGTCTCTGAACGATGTTTAGTTTGACCACACCAGCTGTAGCGCTCGAAGCCGCCTGCAGCGCAGGCGAATCACTGCTTCGAATCGCTTCTCGGGCTCCACCGTGCTGCTCACTCTTCTGCGCGAGTGAGAATGCAACGAATCTTCACACACAGCGGCAAAGCACAGCCTCGCTTCGGCATAGGATGAGCCTGCCGTCATGATAAGTTTGCCTCCGGATACGCTCCAGAATTTCCAGGGTATCTAGCGGCCCTCGTGTTCGCGGCCGTTGTGGACTGTGGCCTTGTTTGAGGCCCTCGTGCTTGCGGCCGTTTGAAGACGTATGGAAGTCCTGGAAACCTTGGTAATATTGGAATGTATCATTGTCAAGGCCTCTTGCTCCTCTGAGTTAAGGCCTGGATTGCATGGGAGCCCTCAACGGTGTAGCATCATGCGGGGTGCTTGAAGCTATTGGGGTGCCAGCCCTCGTGGTGCTCGTCATCGTGGTGCTGATCGTTGCTGCCCGAGTCGTGGTGGTGCTCGGCGATGCGAGGCTGCGAGCGCGGACGTGGTGCTGAAACTCGCGAGGCCTGTGATTTATGTTCAACGCAATCGATTAACTCTTCTTCCTGCCAGTGCCAGGCTGGCTCAGGCCCTTCTTTGAAAGGCCCTGTAAACGCGTTGGCCACATTGCGTCTGTCGAAGGCGCACTGCCCCCAGAACTGGAATGTGCAGCCACGAGTATACGATGTGCCCTGGTGTCAGACTGACCTTCAGACTGTCTGGCAAGCATCTACTCCACCGCCTTGCGAGCTTGAATCGGTTTTACGACGGAGCTGAGCTGGACGTTTTCACGTGTGATTTGTAATGCACGGAGGTTAGATGGGGTAGGATGGTGGCGGCTCACGTTCTACAAAGTGCGGAAGTGAAGGGTCCGAAACTGTATTAGCCAGAGGCGCTCAGCCAGAGCGAGGCTAGCCCGGGGCTCGGCAACTCCCCGGGGACCAGAATAAGCGCGTTGAAAAACATCACGTTTCACATTCATCGCCCCTCTTTGAAATGCCCTGTAGCCGCGTTGGCCACGGTGCGTATGAGGAGGGCACACTGCCCCCAGAACTGGAATGTGCACCACCTGACAAAACAAGCTGCTTCAGTGCTTGAAAGTGCTCAGAAGGAGTTCCACAATGTTGCTGTTTACGCGCTCCTTAGCCGAGGCCTCGGCGGTTTGGTGAGGGCGTTGGCGCCAAAAGCGGCGTGACGTCCCAAGCCAGCGACGGGGCGGCCCCCTTCCGAAAACGAGCACGGTCAGAAGCGCGTATGACATCAGAGGCGCGTGGGCAACTGCGCCGTGACCAAGTGCAAGCGGAGAGGAGCGATGCAACACTCAGAGAGCGGGGACAAGAAGAACGGGCCGCAACAGCAACCCCGAATATTAACGCTCCGATCCGCGATCGTGCCGCTGGCACTGGCACTCAGCCACGGAACCCTCCGAGTTCTCTGTATCGAACATTGTGTATACGTACCTCATACATATCTCGCCCCCCCAATATCATACCATGTGCCTTGTCTTCGATGCTTTCCACGTATTGTTTCTTCCGTCCTCCCCCTTCATGTGCCTCTAGTGGGAAGACTTATATATGTGTGTATATATATATATATATGCCCAGCCCAGCCCCACATAACGGATTTGTCCCGGTGTGTCGCGTGACTTTTTTCCCGAGGTCCAACATCAATGAAACATTCAGCGCGAAGGGCCAAACCTTACGCGGCTGCGTGTGGAGCAGGATCTAACCATCTTGTCTCAAATGCGGCGCGCCGCGAGGCAGTGCGGATGGGGGGCTGCGGGGCAAAAGCGCACAGACGCGCCGAAGTCCCTGTGGGGCACGATCCGCACGAGGGGTGCGACGAATTGGGCGGGGGCTCCCACGAGGACGCACCCACTGAGGCCCTAGTTGGAGCCCCCCGCCTGGCCAAGAAACATGCGAGGGGTGCGCTGAAATTGAAGCCGCCGAGCATGCGGGCGTTGCCACGGGGGCCGTCGGCGGAGCTCTCGTTGGGGCCACGAGGCTTGTGGGGGTTGTGCCGAAATCGGGCGGTGGCGCCATGCGGACCCTGCGCAAGCGGGGTCTTCGGAGGCGCCCTATGGGGCCATGAATCGTGTGACGGGCGCTGTGGTGCCACGCGTCCGCGCCCACTGAGGCCTTCGGTGCACCCCCCTGTGGGGCCACGAAGCGCGACAGCTGTGTGCCGAAATGAGGAGGTGGCACAATGCGCCGCGCCCACTGAGGTCTTCGGTGGCGCGACCTCCCTACGGGGCCACGAAACGTATGAGGGGTTTGCCGAAAGGACAAGGAAAAAGGGCCGCGGAGAACAGAGGGAAGAAGGGGAGGGGGTGATGTGGGAGATGGAGCGCGGCGCTGCGGACTCAAAACGAGGACCCAACACAACATACGGTTCGGAAACACAAATGTGTTTCAATGCGGTCGGCCCGAAGGGGAAGAACGGGCATTGGCAGCCGCTCCCAAAAAACACTACCTAGCGACCCCAAACATGTCCTCAAGATCCCCACATAACGCCCAAGAGGCCCAAAGAGGCTCCCAACGGCCTTCAAAAGACCTCCGAGAGGACCCAGAAGCCCCACGAGCTCCCTGATGGGTCCAAGAGGCTCCTGGGAGGCATCCCCAAGAGACGCCAAGAGACCCAAACCAGCATTCAAAAGGGCCTCTGGCCCGCAACCATGGCATGGAGGAGGGATGGTCCGAAGACCACTAGATGGCGCAGGGGACTCCAGCGAGCTGCAGGGATGAATGAGCACTAAGAGAGACGCAGCGATAACAGATTAGATCGAACACACATGGCGAGTCCTGGCTACACGTCGTCATCCTTCTCCTCCTCCTCCTCCTCCTCCTCCTCCTCCTCCTCCTCCTCCTCCTCCTCCTGCTCGTCCCCCTCCTCCTCCTCCTCCTCCTCCTCCTCCTCCTCCTCCTCCTGAAGGCAATGTGGCGGGCCTGATTCTGCACAGCCTGCACCGTGGTGTTCTCCACCAGGGCGACCGGGGACACGTAGACCCGCAGGGAGGTGTCCCCGAAGCTGGGAGCGATTCTGCTGCATCTTGGGAAGGAAGAGGAGAAGGACAAGGTGACTGCAACGACCTTGCAGACGTGCTGCTGCGGATCTGTGCGTGGCTCTCCTCCGGTGCAAACCCCTGGAAGACGGCGAGCGAACAACGGAGTGCATCTCACGCGGATGTTCTGTTGGCCTTCGCGCCTGGGCAAACAATCCGCACGAAGTTCACTTCGAAATGCGGAACGCAATTCTCCAGGACACCCTGGGCCCATCCCATTTGGTGGGCCTGTTCTCCACCACCACTACCATAGGTTAGAGGGGGAGGGGGTCCTCCTCCTCCTCCTCCTCCTCCTCCTCCACCACCTCCTCCTCCACCTCCTCCTCCTCCGCCTCGTCCTCCTCCTCCTCCTCCTCGTCCTCCCCCTCCTCCTCCCCCCTCCAACTTATGGTGGTGGTGGTGGAAAACAAGCCCATTCTTTTGTTTTCCGAGCGAAATCCGCTCTGCGATGCAGGCGCCATGAAAGATGCTGGGGATCTGATGGTGGACTATCTGACAGCCAACCAGGCATGCCATCCACGGCGTGGGCCCACCAGCCATTTCAAGCTCAGGGTACATGGTGAACTGAGCCTCGTCCCCCTCCACCCCAGCCGAGCCTACGCTGAACCCTGGGGGTCGGAGAGGCCCAGCCTGCAGTCCCCAGCAAAAGGGCACCGAAAACGTAGACATGTCTCTCTCAGTGACTCTCCGCCTGGCTTCCGTCTCTGCTTCCGGCCCGCGCCACAGCGACTGCGGAAAAGCGACTCAGCAGTGCTCACAATCGGAGTCAACGCAGCTTTGGAGAGGGACAAGGAAGAAAATATAATAAAAGAGAGAGAGAGAGAGAGAAAAAAACGAGAGATGATAAGAGAAGATAAGATAAGAGAATATGACATAAGATAAGAAAAGCCAATATAAGAGAAGATAAGAGAAGAGAAGATACGATACGATATCAGAAGAGAAGAGACGAGAAGATAAGAGACGAGACGAGACGAGACGAGACGAGAAGAGAAGAGAAGAGGAGAGGATATGAGAGAAGAGAAGAGAAGACAAGCTAGGATAAGAGCAGAAGGGGGAGGAAGAGAAGAGAAGAGGAGCAATTTTCACACATGTCGTGTCATAGCACCCCGTACGATAGTAGAACAGCGCAGAATCAACCCCATCCGACTTCGACCGCTTGGCCCGCTCCCATGACAGCCATCGCCTCCATCCACACATGCTTAAGAAGCACGTCCGTATGGTTTCTCTTTCTGGAACGCGCCATCTTCCACTTCCAAACTCCAACTGGCCCGCCTCAGCGGGCTCACCCACGCCACGCACACGACCCGGTGCCCTCAAATCGAGGCGTTCCCCCGGGCGGCCGCAGCAGCGCCGGCTGAGGCCCTCCAGAGTGACAAGCCTCCACGTCGCCGCCCAGCTGCGCATGCCTCTCTCCGCAGGCTGACACGCCGATCTCAATGATCATCTGGGCACTGGATCGTTGCCAACGGGGGCACTCGTGGCCAATGGATGTCGGCCGCCCTGGAACTGCACCGCGCACATGATGCGCGCAGCCTCTTCTTTCCATGTTTGACGAGTGGCAGCAGAGCAAGTTAGATGAGTCTGAAAAACATTCTTCCTGCCCCACATGAAATCAGCAGAGTAGCAGTACTCGCGCCAAGCGAATGGCCTGTCACGACGCTTGTATTGGCATCGCATTCCCTGAGCAATTCCACCACGTCCGGACTGAGATCCTGGTCGAGTAGCTTCGCCGATTTCCAAATTCCATTGCCCATTTACGTCTAAGACACACTGCGCTTTTGTCCGCTTCATTTTGCTATTCAGAAATCTATACGAGGTTTGTGAGAACGTCACGGATGCTGGCCGTGCCTCGCACAGCGGCGATGACTTCGCTCCTCGCCTTGTCAAGAAACACGCTTGGCACTGGCCGATACCTCGTGATCGTTTCTTATGACGGACAGCCCGGCCTAGAAACACTGCTCGAACTCTGTCCATACACCCCCTCACCGCGGTAATCGCTTTGACTTGTCGTACATGCCTGAACGCTTGTGCTGCCCCGACTGCCGTCTTCATCTCGCAAGTAAGTTGTTCCATGATTAAAAGCTCCCGTTGCCAAGGACAGGACAAAACTCTGCTCGTCCGTCTGCTCGCTGCTAGATGTGCAAGAAGGTGCCATTAGCCTGATCGAACAGCTGCCCTTACACTGCAGCACATAAGCACAACTACCTCCTGAACAGAAGGGAATAGGCAACTACAACCGCAATCCTGCCCCAAGCCGCCGAATCTGCTTGTAATTACATCCGTGCGTTCCGCGCCACGTGCCCGCTGCAGCCAGCTCCACTCGACCAGGCCAATGATGAAGCCGAGTTTGTTGAAGCTCTCTGTCGCTAGCGGCGCGAGCTTCGGGAAGAGAACCACCGGAGCGGCCAGAGCAATCACCGCGCTGGTCTCTTCCACAGCAAAATGTAGCTTCGCGCCCTCACATCGTTCCACCCCCTTCCTGGCTCAAGCCAATTGCCTAGGGCGGTGAGGGAGGTCTGTGTGATGAGCTGGCCAGACTTCTGTGCGAAATCTGCATTCTAAGTCGCAACTCCGACGATTTTGTCGCTGACGCCACTCACCTGGGCCAAGGCGGGAACTCCTGACCGACTTATTCCACCGAGAATGCCACGAGCGATCCCGAAGCCGAGCGCGGTGACTTGGCCCGCTATCTTACAGCCAAACTCTTCTCCGACTTGAGCAGTGGCAACAGCGTCGCGACAGACTCCGAGGCCATGTTTCAATTTCTCGTTGTCAGCGTTGGCTTGCCAGGAACTTGGCGGAGTCTCACGTCCTCTTCCTCTACACCTGCAGAGGAAGTTTCAGATGTCGCTGACATGTGGTCTTCCTGTTGCGTGGGCTGGGACGCATACACGCAGTAGACAACAGCTTCAGCCGATAGCACTGGAAAACCACGGCGCTCTCACTCTTTCTGTTCCGAAGGAGGAGAACTGGCATCACTCGCGACATTGCGTTTGCCAGTTGGCGCACGCTCGGAGGCCACTGGACAGGATGCCATCGGAGTTGGACTCTCCACACCAGCTGTGCTTGCCCACAACCATTCCACAATACAGCTCGTTCTACAGTCAAACATCAGCTTCCTTCTTGAGGGCGCGAGCCCGGTGAGCCCAACTACTGCCCGACAAGGAACCAAAGCAGCACGATTTGAGTGTGTCTTGATTCTGGGGCCTGGTGGGAGTCATGGAGACTGCGGGCGGTACGTGACGACCCCCTCCCTAGCAGACACGCGCAACACACAACGATGGGACGGGGAGGTGGACTGTCACCGATGGAGGAGGCGCCTGGACACTTTTGGCCTCGTGGCGATCGCAAGCTCTGCGACAGTGTGCACATTTGAGCGCCGCATGCGAAAATAGAAAACGCAGGCAAGAAAACGCAGCCTGTGTACACCACAGGGCCTGTGCACACGCAGACAGTAACATAAGCTTGTGTACAAAACAGGCCGAGGAGGGTACAAGCGAGGTCCTGCGTACACCGAGCGTGCGCACGTCTATACATACCACACCAACGCGGCATGACATGACGAACGCACACCCTGTGCAAGCCGCCAAGCATGTGTTTGCGGAGGATTGGACTCCGCCGCATGTGAAAACCTCCAGACCACTGACCAGGGATCGGCCTGTATTCGAGCTCGCAGCCCTGCCCGAGCCGACTAGGTCTGCTGGAGCTGCTGAACTCGTCGCGGAGGCGACGGCGAGGAGAGGAGGAAGCGAAGCGAAGCCAGGCGAAGCAAGCGCTCATCTCGTTCTATCCGTGGTTTGGTGGTCCACAGCGTACTTTGCAAATGCCCATTCTGATTCCCGCCAGGAGGCAGCACGCGCAGGTGCTAACCACCCCAAAGGGGAAGGAAGGCAGGAGGAAGGAGGCAGGAGATGAGGAAGGAGGAAGCTCCTGAAATCGATGAGCTCAGTCACCCAAGGCGTGTACTGCAGTGCCAAGCGCCTCAGAACTATCGACGATCAGCCGAGCCGTGGCGGAAGGCGACCTCAGCCCGTTCGGGCACCACGAGCTGTTTCGATATGGTCGCCGGGCGTGTTGCAAATGCGTCCGCCCTTCGTTACACTACCATGCAACACGTAATGAAGATGGTCAGCTATGGCAACGCACTGAAGAGAGGAAAACGAAGAGGAGGAGGAGGAGGAGCAGGAGGAGGAGGGAGCATCACCAAGGAGAAAGGTAGAATAACCGGCCGACCCGACCCAGCTTTTCTGCCCTGGCCGGCTGTCTTGGGTGTCCGCCTACCGCAGGAGGCTCCTGGCGGTGCTGTCCGCCTTGGCGGCAGCCCTGCACCCTGCCTCCATGACCGGGGGCGCGCAGACATGGATTAGCGATCCATGGATTTGGCGCGCGGTCGCCACATCCATGGATCGGGGGAGGTGCCCTCCCCCCAACTGCGGCTGGTGCCGCCTCGCTCGGCGGCGGCAATCCGCGATTCCACGCCCCGCGACTCACAGGCCATAGACTCCAGAACCCTGCGCGCTCGCGCACTCCCAGATTCCAGGGCGTTAGTCGAGGGTCTAAGCGCTGGGGCCCTAGAAGCCAAGCGCCTAGACCCCAGGGCCGTAGATTCCACGGCCACATGGTGCTGCGCGTTCGATTCCAAGGCTTGCGACGCCAGGGCCGTTGACTCCGCGGCCCTGGCGTCGCAAGCCTTGGCCCCTTGATCCACGTCTGCTAATCCACGCCCCCTTGATCCATGTCTGCGATCGCCTGAGAAGGCCAGCGGGGCCGAAGTCTGATCGCGAGGAGGAGGCGACGGAGGAAGCGTACTTATGAAGGCTTTCTCGGATCGGCGCGGGACCCGCTCCCCCCCCCGCGCAGGAAGCGCGGCAAGCTGAGGCGCCAGAGGCGCCACCAGGAGTGGTGGGCCTGTTTTCCACCACCTCCACCATAAGTGGGAGGGGGAGGGGGTCCTCCTCCTCCTCCTCCTCCTCCTCCTCTCCTCCTCCTCCTCCTCCCTCCTCCTCCTCCTCCTCCTCCTCCTCCTCCCCCTCCTCCTCCTCCTCCTCATCCTCCTCCTCCTCCTCCTCCTCCTCTTCCTCCTCCTCCTCCGCGCACGCCGCCTCGGCCAGTCCGATCCCTGCACTCCAGGAGGACTATGCGTGCTCACGGGTCTGCTCCTGGCCAGGCCTTTAACCCTGGTGGCAGTTTCCCCTTGGTGAGCTTCAAAAGGGCCTTGTGACCCCCACTCTGGCTGTTGCTGGGTGGGGCACAGGGGGCACGAAACTTCTTGGAGGCCCGAACCCGCCAACACCCGCACCGCCGACACCAGAGAACCCCGCGACAGATGGCGAGATGGGGTCGGTGGCTGGGATGGAGGGCGGGTCCGTCGCCCTCCGTCAATTCGAAACTGGGCACTAATCCCCCACTAGGGCCTCCACTCCCTGATACAGTGCCACTGGCTGGGCCAGGACATCGGGTGCGGAGCCACCTGGCGCATGACCTCCTGTGGGTCTGCTTCCTACATCTCGAGCAAGAAACTTGAGTCTCGCTGACGTGGGGCCAGTGGGGGGGGGTGAGAGCAGATGCTGCAGGGCACGTTCGCTCCGCTCGCGTCTGCGAGCTCTCTTGCATTCGGCGCTATCTTCAGCTACTGGAAAATGGGTCCACCACAACATTTGGACCGCTGCCAGTCGCCCTCTGATCTGTTCGCTGAAGGTGTCGAGGGCCAACACTCTCTGCGCTAGGTCAGCGGGCACAGCAGCTTGGGCAGCGGCTTCGCTTGCGAGCCGATCTGCCTGGTCATTGACATACAGGGTCCATTCGGGAAAACGTGCGCGCACCTCGGGGTCGGTCGCGTGACTCTTGACCTTGAGGTAACTTAGACGGCCCTCACGGGTCCCCAAGACGCGCCAATATTCAAATTGTCCTCCTCCTCCTCCTCCTCCTCCTCCTCCTCCTCCTCCTCCTCCCCCCCTCCAACGTATGGTGGTGATGGTGGTGGTGGAAGACAGGCCCAGCAAGAAGGGGGGGGGAGGGCCGGCGCCAACCCAGGGGATCCGCGCGGACCTCCGAGAGGGCGGCCGCTTCTGCCGCCTCATCCTCCCTCGAGAGCCCCGACGCCCGACGCTCTGCGGGGTGCCTGGAAACGCAGCGTGGCTGCCCGGAGGTCCGGACCCCTTCCTCGGCTACACGCAAGAGTGACCTTGCGTAAGAGTGACCTCTGGTGCGCGGCTTTTGGGGGGCCGCGGGGGGACCAGGCTCAGGCGCGCAAGACGCCACTACCGCATCGCAATCGGTGATCGGGGGACCCCATTGTGCCCGCACCAAAGGTCACTCCGGCGAAAGGTCACTCTTACGTGTAGTCGACTGCCTCGGGACGCGCTGTCCATCCCGGGTCGTAGGTAGCCTGACGGCCTCGGGGCCGTGCGAGGGCCCCAGGGGGCCGAAAACTGCCAGAAGCCCGCCGCCGGGATCCTCCCACGTGGAGAGGAGGAGCAGGGGGTCGGGGAGACGTAAGACACGGCTTCGGGCGACTCGGGTGGGCCTGACGGGGCCGTCGGGCAAACTGCGAGACCCCGCCTGAAATGTGACGCGAGCGCCCGCTGCAGACATCCTGCGAAAACCGGACCGTCAAAACGCAGGACGGGATCGTCCAAAAGCGTCGGCAAGCCCGAGCTCCGGAGAGCTCGAATCTCACGCCTCCACGAGGAAGGAACTGAAGGGGCCCAAGGAAACACAAATAAAAACACACCAAACCCAGGATTCCCAATATTTTCCTATATCTTCTGGGTTTTCGTCTTCTCCCCCACTTCCCATATTTTTCAAGATGTTCCTGGGAATACTGAGGAAGAGCAGACGGCGGGGAAGACCCAAGGAGGGCGGCCCAAGGAAGCCCAAGGAGGACAGGCGGCGCGCACGGGGGGTAGGGGGGGGAAGGCTTCTTAGGAGGAGGCTGCTTCTCAGGAGGCGCGGGCCTTCACTACAGATGTACCTGTCGTTAATTTCTAATCGTGCTCAGTTATAATTGTGCTCGTTTCTATTTGTTCCTGGCCCCCTAGTGGCCAGGAAGAGGCCCAGGATAGAACAATTAGAAATGAAAGGATATTGGCCCCCAAAAAAAACAAAGAACTTTAGAAGAATCAGAAATGAACAACGTGTAGGGCCCACGCCTTCTGAGAAACGGCCTCGTGCTAAAAACGCCGTCCCACCTTCCCAATACCCCCGTCTGCGCGTGCCCGACTCTAAGACGAAGGCAGCCTTCCCCCCTCCCCCTGCCCTCCTCATCCCCTCCTTCTAAAAAAAAGGCCTCCTTCTACAAGAAGCCCCTTCCCCCTATCCCCGATCCCCCCTCCTTCTACAAAAGGCCTCCTTCTAACAAAAGCCTTATCCTCTCCCCCTACCCCATTCCCCCCTCTTTATACAAACAGCCTCCTTCAAAAAACAAGCCTCCCCCCCTCCCCCACCCCCCGACCCCCCTCCTCCTACAAAAGGCCTCCCTCTAAGAAAAGCATCCCCCCATCCCCCTACCCTCCTGCGCGCGCCGCCATCCTGCCATCGCTCGGACGTCCACTCGGCGTCGTGCGCGCCTTTTTCGTAAGAGATGATCCAGGATGCTACTCGACGGTCCACGACGACAAAAGATGCACACGTCCGAGCGATGCCAAGCCCAGAGGTGCGGACGGTGGGGAGGACCCCGAGAGGGCCGGGAGTTGTCGCGGCTCCTCCGCGTCGTGGCGAGGCCGTCGGCGTCGAGGCACAGCGCGTAGCGCCCGCCCGGCAGCAGCCCGCTCGCGTCCACAGTAAGCAGCCAGCCCGCGACCTGGCCGCCGAGAGAGAACGGGCCCGGGCCGTGCACCCCCCCCCCCCCCGAGTAAGGCGAGGGCGGGAACTGGGTCACCCGCCCTCGTCGTCTTCGATCGCACCCCCTCCGCCCCAGGCCCCCTCGCGCTGTGAGAAAAAAACGCGACGGGGGGTTCTTCGCTCTCTTCGGCTTCCAGGGGCGCTTACCGGGCCTCGAGGCCGTCAAAAAACGGCTCGGGATGAAAAACCAGTCCCGGGGAAGGGGTCCAGACCTCTGGGGGTGTCGACGCTGCGAAAAGATCACGACGTCAGGGGTCTGGGCCTGGGGGGGCATCTCTTCTCCCCACCTGCCACGTGCAGCCCCCTGGAACCAGGGGGGGGGAGAAGGGAGGACTGATGCAACTGGCTGGGGAGGGGGAAGGATGGAGCACGAGAGAGGGGCCGGGAGCGGAAGGCACGTGGCAGAACCTGACTCGGCCTTGGACCCGCTGCCCGACCCCTATCCCCCTCTGGCAGGTGGGGACAGGTGCCGCCTCCGTCGGGCTGCGGCGCGGCGTCCACCCCCGCCTCGAGGGGGCACGGCGGTGCGAGCGAGCGAGCGACGGCCAAACACTTTTTGTCGTCGGCGGCGAGGCAGAGGCAGTCCGCTCCAGCGTGCCGCTATCCTGAGCCAAGCGCAAGGCGAACCAACTGGCGTGCACGACGAGGGGGGGGAGAAAGACTAGAGCGACCGCGCAGCGAGGGCCGAACAGCCGCACAGCGGGACGGCTCCATGGTACGCGAAGCGCACGGAAGGGCCGGTATGCATCAAACAACGAGTCCGCGAAACGGTGAATCATCAGTACGTGTGACAGGAGGGGCAGGAAGAGAAAGGGGAGGAGGAGGAGGAGGAGGAGGAAGACGAGGAAGAGGAAGAAGGATAGGGAATGAGGAGGGGCGAGTCTGCCTGGCCCTGCATAGAACATGTATAGGCTGCGCTTTACGAGCCGTTGCATCTCCTGCTGGCGCCAAGGAACCCTGGCCCACTGGATGGGACCAGTCTGACGGTGCCGCGAGAATCGGGGATCGACTGACCTGGGTCAATCCAGACCCGGGTCAGTCAGGACTTGCAGGATCACGCAAGATTGTGCACGATCCTGAAAGATCCTGCACCCAGGCCCGGGCCAGTGCGACCCTCACCCTGCAGGATCCTGCAAGCTCCGGCGATCTGGCTGACCCCCGTTTGCATTGAACCCCGTGCCTTGGGCCCCGGGAGTAGCGGGCCCTGGCAGCACCGTGCCCCCTGGACCCTGGGACGTTCCCCTTCGGACCAGCCCTTCACCTTGAGCCGTGTTTTTTGTCATGGGCATGTTTTCCACCACCACCACCATAAGTTGGAGGGGGGGGGGGTCCTCCTCCTCCTCCTCCTCTTCCTCTCCTCCTCCTCCTCTTCCTCCTCCTCCTTTTCCTCCTTCTCCTCTCCTCCTCCTCCCTCCTCCTCCTCCTCCTCTCCTCCTCTCCTCCTCCTCTCCTCCTTTCGCCTTCCATCATATGGTGGTGGTGGTGGAAAACAGGCTGACGGCCCGTGGGGGCCGGGAACGCCCCCCCCCTCCCCCGAGGCCGAGACAGCGGCGAAGCGCTAGGAGCCCCCCAGATGCAGACGCGCGAGGAGGGCCTCAAGGCGCAGGCCCGCGCCAAAGGGGCGCCCAGGCAGACCCCGGCCAGAAGCAGACCCCGAGAGGCCGAGCCTCGCGAGACCTTTACTTTAGAAGCACCCTGAGGTGCAGACCCCGACCGGGAGGGCCTCGCGCAGAGGCAGGGCGGGGGCCTGCGTGCGTCGGGCAGGGCTACACTTCAGGGGCCGCAGGCTGTCTCTCCCGACCCCTCCCGGGGCCCCTTGTCCTCCCGGGGGGATAGCAAAGGGCAGGAGAGAGAACCAGCTCGCGTGGCTGATTTTCCCAGCTCCTCCAGGCGCTGGGATGCGCCCGTGCATCGAGGAATGGGCCCGGCGTTGACTCGGGCCCTGTGTAATGACAGCTAACATCCACATGTGTTACGTTGTTCGACATGTGATTCATTTTCGACGTTGTGAAATTCGGATGGGAAAAATGTCGTTTGATGACCTCGCCCAGAAACGTGGAACTAAAACTACAGGATCAAATCCTACGTTGTTGGTGTTGGTCCCGCTCGCATAAGTGTCGATTTCTGTGTTGCTGGTATGTCACTGTGTTCTCGATGCGTCGATTTGGAGGTTCGGTAACTTTCCAGACACGTTTGATGCGTCATCTTCGGCCTTCGCCAACAATTCTGAATTACGGTGTGTTCTGTCCCTGGCCGCTCGAAATTCGTCGTGGGACGTGTCAAACGGGGAGGCGGCTGCGGTCGCGCAGGTGGTCGCGGCAGCGGTTTTCTCGGCGGCGGCGGCGATGGGAGGTGGCAGCGGCGAGCGGAGGTCGGACACTTGTTAGAGAGATGGACCCAGTTTGGAAGACCGCATGGAACCGCCGCCCATCGTGGTTGCCCACGCGGGCGCCCGTTCCAAAGCGTTCACTCCGGGGCGCAAGGGCACGGAGGGCGCGGCGCGCAAAAAAACCGTCGGATGCTGTGAGATAGCGAAAATGCAAATCGCCAGTGGGCACTCACTCGGGATTGTCCAGCGAACCCGCTGGGGACGCACGGTGCACGCGTGCGCGCGCGTGCGCGCGTGGGCGCGCGCGCGAGCGTGCGTGCGCGTGCGTTCACGCGGGGGGCGGGCGAGGGCGGGGAGGGGGGTGGGGGGGCGGGGCGCGGGGGGGGGGGAGGAGGGGGTTGGCGCGCGGCGCGGGGCGGGGAGAAAAGGGGGGGCGGGGGGGGGCGTGGGGGCGAGGGCGGGGGCGGAAGGGGATGGGGCGCGGGGGGCGGATGGTGGCAGCCGCATTGGGGGCGAGGTCCTTGGGGCGCGCGCGCAAGGCGCGGCGGGTGCCCCGGGGCCCAGGCGCGGCAAGCTGCGCGCCTGAGTGTCCACGCCGACGCTGGCCATCGACCCTGGCGCCGCACGAGCCGCTCTGCCGTTGCGTTTCCTCGCAATCAGAATTCGCAAAGCGTCTGGGCCGTCGTCGGCCGAGGCGCGGCAGCCGCGGGGGGGGGGCAAGCGAATCGGGAGGAGACAACGTCGTCGTGCGCCTTGAGCCCTATGTTAACAGCGCGCGCAAGGCGCGCCCGATGGCGCCGGCGGGCGGGCGGGGGGGCTCTAGCGAAAATCGCATGTCCGATGCCGCGCGCAGGAGGCGTCGGCGGCGTGGGAAGGACGTCAAAACAATCTCGCGTTCGACGCGCGGCGCGCGAGGGGGGGGCTTCGCGAATATATTACGTCCGACGGGGGGCGGCGGGCTGTGCAGAACTGCCGCGCGCGACGCTGGGGCGCGCGAGGGGACGACGGTGGATGGGGGGGCGCGGCGGCCACGCGGCGACCACGTTGCGGGCGCTGGGGGGGGGGGGGGGCAGGGGAGACTGAGCAGAAATCTAACCCGACGCGCTGGGGTGAGGGGGGGAGCAAGGGGGGGTACTTTGTAAAATTCAAATGCGTTGGCGATTCTAGAACTCATCCATTCGGGCGTCATTTCTTACGTGAGCCAGCCGACTCGAAAATCGACGCCCAAATCGGAGCCGAAATCGACACTTCAACTGAGTTTGTATCAACTTGGGAATTAAAATGGACGTCGGGTATCAATTCGGGCATCAATATGGGCATCAAAATTGACGTCGGGCACCGGCTCTGGAATCGAGTCCGAAATCGACACTCTCACTGAATTTATATCAATCTAGGCATCATCAAACTTGACCTTGGGAGCCGACTCTGAAATCGAAAGCAAAATCGAAAACGAAATCGACACTTCTACTGCCTTGGGAGTTCGCAAAAAGTCCAAGAGATATTGCGCCTGGTTCGAAGCTCTTGAACTTGGAGAAACACCTAACGGCGGACGGTGGAGGCCTCTGCCGGGCAGCTCTCCGTTGAGCGCGTCCGCCCTTGGCCTTGCGCCTGCAGCCCCGACGCTGCCCCCTTTCCTCTGCGCGCGCACGCGCGCGCAGCACGCACCATGCAACGCAGCATGGCTGCGACACATCCAACAAAACTTGCGCTGAACTCGAAAGCTTCGAGTTTGGAGGAAAGAGGAGAGGAGGAGCAACAGCGGCAGGTCCCGCAATCGCCTGCCAGCAGCGGGCATCTCGCCGACGGACGCCGGCAAACATTAGCTGGGAAAGGGCGGAAGAGGGTCGGATAATTACGTACACCTTACACATGCACCAACTACTACTTGTCACCTCACTTCACACGTTGCACAAGTCACAACGCGTGATAACGCGCGATTTTCGGTGCGCGGACAACTGAATACAATGTGACATAATGTACAATGCCAGTTGTTGAAGCAAAGACAAGCACACATAACGATAATGTACGCGCGGCGTATGCTCCTGTGTATGTGCTGCATATACTGTCATTGCGCTGCACCAGAGCAGAGACTGTCAGGGAAAGGGAGGAGAGGAACCTAAGACATAAGAAACTCTGACACAATGAAAGAAGGAATCCAGGATCCCACGACCAGAGCCCAGCGGTTCAGGATAGCCCAAGGCCCAGGGTCCAGGATCTTAATGCCAGAGTCCAGGACCCCACGGCCAGAGTCCAGGGTCCAATCCATTATCCACGGCGTCCACGGCCAGAATCCTTCTCTCTCTCTCTCTCCTCCTCCTCTTCTTGTTCCTTGTGATTCCTACCCCTTCTCCTCAATTAATATCCTCTGGCTCTCCCCTTTTGCTTCCCCCACACGCCCTGCGCGGGCGCTGTTTGGCTGGAGAATGTACGACTTGATTTAATAAAGGTGGCGAAGCTGTCGGATGTGCAAGGCGTCGCGTTCAAACCTGATTCCAATGACACTGTGGAAATCGAGTTTTCGAGCGATCAGCGCGTGTGCAAACACGGTTTTCAAGCACCGACGTGTTTGACAACGCATGGGCGGCATTGCAACACTTTTGCTAACAGAACGCGCGCGCATCAACGCATTTCGTGACGAAACCCACATGTTGGAACGATCTCCACAACACAATAACATACACATACACAACAACAAACGCAAGTTGCAGAATGTGGCTTCCCGCGCAGTAGCACTGTAACTTTTTTGACACGAAAAAACCATCAACGCATTGAGACAGCGCACGCTTCGAAAATCGGCACGTCGACACAACGCACAACACCAAAATCGACACAGACTCCCAACGTTTTAATTCTCCATGGTTATCAAGCAAGGCCCGAGTAAAGCCCGGCGGCGGGGCCGAAACCAGCTGCATGCAGCAGATTTCGTGAACCCCCCTTTCCCTATCCCCCCTGTCGTTCGGCCCGATCCTCGGGGTCCATTCCCGGCCGAGCCCAGCAGCCTTGAGCTGAGCAACCTCTGGCTATCTCTTTGACTGCCTACCAAAAAACCCTAACCCAACCCGAAGACCCGAAGTTCGGGTTTGGGTGGGGTGTACGGGCTCCGTATGCGTTTTCCCCACGCTCCCCGACCCCCCCCCACTGGGAATGGAGGGCAAATTGGGGCCTTCGGATTGGGTTGGGAAGGCTTGGCGGGTGGTGACTCTCGGGGACGCCGCTTCTACTCCCGCCAGCAGCTCCCGCCGGCCTCCCGCCCGCTTCTGTGCTGGCGGACCCGCCGCCGCTGTATACTTCTGCTGGCCTCCGCCGACCTTCCGCCGTCCTCCTGGGGAAACCGCGAGGTACCGCTACCGATACTCCCCGGCCCTCTCCAGGAGTGCGTTCTGACAAGAATGTCGAGGCGAAGCCAACGGTGGCGACGAGGGACACCCAGGAAGCCCCCCAAAGAGCGGAAGACCCACGGAAGGGTAGCAGTACCCGTACCCCTCCCTCCTCAGACTCCCGCCGAGGCGGCGGGATGCCAACTGCTTCGATCCTCGAGGGCTGCGCCCCTTGCCGGACCGCGCCGCGTGGCGAATCCTCCCCAGACACCCGCGGATCTGATTCTGTTGCAGCCTGCGGCCCCAGAGGCCCCGACCCCTCCCCCCCTCCTCCTCTCCTCCTCCTCCGCCTCCTCCTCCTCCTCCTCCTCCTCCTCCTCCTCCTCCTCCTCTTCCTCCTCCTCCTCCTCCTCCTCCTCCCTCTGGGGTGACTGTTCCTCCAGCATAGATCCATCGTTGCTGGTCCCCCGGGCCCGAGGACGGGCCCCCCCGAGGCCGACCTCCAGGAACAAACACACGCCAGATGGAAAACAACGCGCCATATGGAAAAACACGCCATATTGGAAACAAACACGCCAGATTGAAAAACACGCCATACTGAAAAAAACACGCCGCATTGAGCAACATGTTTTAAAACATAGTATTTGGTTTTTGTTTTAATATATATATATATATATAAATGGAACAAAAAAACACAGCCTCGATCTCTGCAGGGCCCCCTCCCCGCCCGCCGGCCGCGCGCGGAGGGCAAACCCGGGCGGCCTCCACGGGCCCGGAGGTGAAGCCCGCCGCGGCGGCCGCGCCCGCGAGGGAGGCGAGCGGCATGGGCCAGCAGGCGCCGTCGGAGACGCGGCGCGTCCAGTAGGGGTAGCCGCGCGCCAGGGCCGCAGAGGCGCAGGCGCGGTCCTTCGAGAGGAGGAAAAGGTACAGGGCAGTTTTTGATACATGGGATGTTTTCTAAAAATAATGTTTTTAATGTTTTAAAGTATTAGTGAATGAATAATGTATGCATGAACTCATCTATGTTCTTAATACTAGATCCCTGCATGTTTAATAACTGAAGCGCACGCGGAGCATGTATTAAAAAAGGCACTGTACCCACACCTCGACCTCTCCCTCGTCTTCCCATGCTTTTTGAGGCCTCCTGGGAGGCACCAATCCAGAGTGACGAGGGTGCTGAGCTGGCACGGTGGCGGGACTTGCCGCAGACAGCTGGGTAAGAAGGAGCATAATTGACACGATTGTTGCTGTGTCGTCCGCCCAGGCCCCTCCTCGCGACCCACCCACGCCACGATACGCCTGCGATCCGATTCACCTGCGACCTGCCTGCGACCTGCCCGCGACCCATCCGAATCGCGACCCACACGCGGCCCATCCGCGACCAGCCCGCGACCCGCCCGCGACCCACTCGCGCCGCGACCCAACCGCGACCCGCATGCAATCCGACCCCCACCCACCCGCGACCCACCCGCGACCCGACCGCGCAACGACCTGCACTGCTGACCACCCGCGACACTGCTTCCACCGAGTCAAGCCTGCGGCGGGCTGCCCTACTCTGGCTTCGGAGGACACCATTGTGCACCCTCGCCCTCGCGGCCGCGCGACGACGCGCCCTGCGACCCATCCTCACTGGTTCAACCAAATCGGCACTTGCGGCGTCCGACTGACCCATCAACCTTGTATTCTTAAACACAGGCAGAGATCGACGCCCGCGGCAGGCAGCCCCGGAACCCACTCACACTTGTCCGCAGCTGAGTGGGGGC